TGGCAGCAATCTTTTGAATAATTGCACAAAATAGTTCAGGTTATTTTAAAATATATTTAGTATTTTTATATAATGTGTATTTTAAAGAATGGATTATTTTCACCATCTTCTCAATTTGTAACACCAAATCACTGTTAGTGTAAATAAACATCATGATAGTATTACCATAGGTCATGGACTTTAACCAAGGTAATTGTGTAGCTACTTAGAAACTGAACAACATATTCAGCCTTTAGTCTGGTCTGTATGTAACTTAGGTTTGAGCTAAAAAGAACCTTGCTAACAATCCTGACACCTGTATCTGTTCCGCACCATGAAAATTCTGCTGTAACTTTCTAGCCTACTCAGCAGAAAGATATAGAAGATTTATCATTAATATTAGAATTACAGAGATTTTTCTGAAAATTTAAATTCTTATTCTGTTGGGCCCAGATCCAGCATCCTACACAGTGGGGTCTCTCAGTTCGTGAACAAAGAAGCTGTCTTGAAAAAAAATGTGCTGTTGGATGTAAGCTTATTTGAGGAAACTGCAGATGGTAGCAAGGGAGTTTGTTCTTGGCTGCCATCTCTGTGCCTAAAGCCAGATCCAGGGGAAATCGAAAGAGCTGGGCACTGGGGTTGGGCTCCTGGAAGGGATTTTAGCCTGGGTACCCTTCAGATGACATTCCTTCTACTTAATTCCAGCTTAAAAGCTACACATGCCATCTAAATTAATCATTAAGACTCCCTCTCTAATCAGTAGAGAAATCAAGCACTTCTAGATAGCAATTCACCCATCTTGTTTAAATACTTGTCTTTGGAAAGAAAGCTGTTACCTCTGGAAGTGTTCTCTGCTGACCAGTAGAAGAAGCCTAGGCTGTTAGCTTAGTCGTGACTACTGTTTAGGTGGCTGCAGTTAACAGAGGTGAATCCCGTCCCACGTGGCTAATGCATAATAATCCCCAAGTGGGATAGCTGTTTTACAAAAAAACACCATTTGCAGCTAGAAAGACAGCAAAAATGCTATGCCTGCTATCCCAAGTCATGTAGCCAGATTGTTTTTCTAGTACATCCCTCCAAGCCACCTGGGGAAGAAACAGCTGTGAGCTGTCTGAAGGGTGTGCCAGAGATCAGGCTTTCCAGGGACTCCACTTCTGTAGTCCCTATTCAGACCTTTCCACTGAAACCGATAGGAATTATGGCAAAGGACTATAAAATCAAACCCCCTCTAAGATGTTAGCGGAGGCAGAGTCCTCCTGTACATTTCTGTAAGACCATTAGGTGACAGCTAAATGAAGGTATGGCCACTGGAGTCTTTGCGACAGGGATCTTTGCGGACCAGCTATTCTGCAGCATGAGGGAAAAGAGGCATTAGCCAATCATATCACAATGAAGAGGAATAAAAATACAACATTTCACTGTGCACTCATATACTTTATTCAGGGCAGAAGAATGCAGTTTGCATAGCTTAAAAACATGAGCCAACAAGTCACCAATATTTGCAAAACACTCCTTTTTTACTCTCTTCTAATGTGTTCGTAATTTGAATCAAACTACTGGAGATAAAACGAGATGATACAAAGGCAGAATCTGAAAGCTCTCACTCACGTGTCACCTTCCAGCTGTTAAGAAAATCCAGGCTGTTACTGTTCTTGCCTTGGCTGCCTCAGCATAGCCCCATTCCTTCCTAGGGAGATCTGTAATGGAAGCTATTGCATTTTAGTAAGCAGACAGCATTACAGCTCACTCAACGTCTCTAAGGGAGGACCTGGAGGCACCTACACGTGGACTGAGAGATACCCTGAACGTTTCTGTGCTACAGGTTTTAGCTAAAGGTTGCTCTAATCTTCCCCCTGTTCAAATGTCAGGTTAACACAAGGAGAAAAATGCTGCCATTCTGTTTCTCTGCATTAATGATAACACCTCACCTAACAGGACAAACCCCAAACTATGGCCAATACCAACTGCATCAACTGGGTCTAGGTTTAAAAGTAAGTTGGATAATACTGCAAGCCTTTATGTTCCTCCATTTCCAGTCAGCTGGAAGAGGAATAAACCAGGCTATTTAGTAAGCGTTGTCAACCGAAAGGTGACCTGTTCTTGAATCTGACCTTTTAGCTCAGCTTCATGGGTGGGTTTGGCTCAAAGCATTCATTATGCTTGGGTTGCCAAATTCAAAGAAACAGGTGGAGTTAGACTATAAGATGTTTACTCATGTTATGCTGGAATTCCTTGGCTCTTGCCCAAGGCCCTACTTCGGAGGCCTTCAAAGGTAAAACTGCTACTCCGTTCTTGCCTGAAACATTTTGTTCTTACCTTTCTCTCCTGTCAATGGGAATTAGAGGAACCTGAAATATTGTTCCTGTCTGAACACAGAGCTAAAAGTAATTCCGTGTTTTGTGATGCTCAAAGCATCGTTGTCTGCTAGTGTTGTGTGAAAGATGGGCAAAAATGAGGAAAATGCACTAGCACCCTTAGCAGAGAACCTTTACTGAGCCCCCTGTACAACCTACGTGAGGAGAAGGGTCTAGTTGACACATCCAGCCGCAGGGGCAAAGTGGAAACGACCACAATGGGGAAACAGCATTGGTACAACCAACCAGTCCTTTTAAAAGGCACACAGGAAGGAAACTAGGAAAAATGGGGGACAGATGTTTTCCCTTTGTTTTTTTTTTTTTTTTTTGTGTGTAATTTAAAGTTATGTTTCTATTGGAGGGAAGTGTGCTCCACGGTATGGCCCACAACCCGTGTCCCCTGGCTGTCCCTGTACAGAGACCTCCTAGACCACACCGCAGCTCCCTTCTGGCCTGTGCTCTGGCGTTTAGTTCCCTTGGAAACCACACACACATTTACTCTGTTACTAAAAGCAACAAGTATAATAATTATGTTTTAAATGGTACTGAATCATATATTTTCATTTTATTGTTGGAAGAGGTATCATGTAACATATTTTTCCATTGTACATATATCTACAGCAAACTTTGTTTTCTAGGTTTTTATCATTATGTTAAAAAGCAGTATAAGATGAGGATGTCCACATCTCTTAAGGTTAATTCCAAACATTTTCTCTCTAAACCAAAAATATTTTCATTCTTCTTTGTGATAAATCCCACTTGTGATCAATTATCATATTTGTATACACATTTTTTTAACATTAAGCTAAATGCTGAAGGAATGATATTCCCAGTGTAGAGTCCAAAATATAATAAATATTACATAATTTAAAAATATGGCATACTTATAATTTAAAATAAAGGAATCACATGTCATTAAAACAGCATTTCACTCAGCTTTTATGCAATTTTAGAAATTCTCTTTTCTTACCCTAGATTTGGGCAATGATCAGGGATCACTTGGTGTTCTGGAGGAAGTTGCTACCATCCTTTCAGCTGAAAGGTGAAGCATTTTCAAGAATGTCAGAGGAAATTTTAAATGACACAGCAGCAAATCGTATTAGATTCTGATGCTATCAAAGAAAGAGCAAGTGGTAATTAGGGTGATTGGAGTGATGCCTGAACATGGTGTGGAATCTGCAGCACTCAAAGCAAACAGAGACCCCACTGGGAAATGTTTTGGACAACACAACACAGAATGCTGTTTGTGTCTTCTGTTGTAACCAATTTTATGTGCTTGAAACCAATTTATTATGATTTACCATGAGTAGGTGACTGGAAGGCTCTGAGCAGAATATTCTGTTACTCCTTCCTTTCTCTAAAGTTCAAACAATGATGTGCTGCACATTTAAAAAAAAAAAATTGTCTGTCTCTTGAAAAAAATCTCAAAACAAAATTAAGTTTCATTAATGATGCCTTTCCCCTTTAATAATTACATATGGTTATGACTGATTTATACTATAAATCACGTGTGGTGCCGATGTGGGAAGACTCCCAAATCTTTGTTCTTCTCTCTTAGCAGGCTCTTGGAAAGTGTCATCATTATTGGTTTTACCTCCAAAATTGAAAGTACCCTAACAAAATACTGACAGAAGTTTGCTTTGCTCGTGCATACTGCATGAGACCATTCTCATTACCTAACATCGACTCTCATTCACTTCTTTGAAAGACAGGAGGTCAGCAGGGATGCAGGCTCTGCAGAAGAAGCTTGTTTAGAAAATTTTGTATGCTACTGTCTTTTGAGGATCAGCTTGGAGACTCATGACAGCAAGAATCTAAAAGATCTTCTTGGCTAAAACTGACACTGTGAAAGACTTACTCACTTTCACAGTGTCAAAGACTTAATTCAGGCTGCAAGCAAGTGGAAGTAGGCACCAGTATTTTCTTCCTAGGTAGCCACTGTTGAAACCTGCTGTTTGCCTTCATTTGCTGTTTTCAGCCAGCACTTCCGTCACTGGAATAATAATAAGTTCATCCCATGGTTTTATAAGAGCAAACGTATGCCACTGATACTTTCCATTTCAAAATAAGCAGGGAAGTTGTTACCCTTCTTTCTAACCTAGTTCAATCTTCTTCCATATTCCACAAAAGTTGCCTGAAGAGTTGTTCTTAAATTTCACTAAAGCAAAAAAAAAAGTTGTTCATATTTCAGTCTCATTCTCCCATCCAAATTAGACTGTGGACAAAGAATTTAAGAAAGGGTGTGCCAAACGCTGAGGACTGTTGGTATTCCAAGTTAATTAGAGCAGTTAGTACCTAATTAAGTGCTAATTTATGCTCTGTGCAATCTCACAGAGGGTAGAAATTTGGCTTGGGTCGGTTGGAAAACAAAATTTTAGGTATTACACGTGAAAACTTCTACTACTTTTATGCATACAAAACCTACTTTGTTTTATATGAGTTGAGTGCACTGTAAAATAAGGCTAAACTCTTATCCTGGTTTGGCTGGCTTCCTCTTGCAGTTCCAAAAGTTTCACAAACATTCATTTTCCTGTATCCTCAGAAGTCACAGAACATGCTAAAGACAAGCTGTCTGGCAGCCAGTTTTCCGTGTTTCCTTCAAAGGGCAAACTTAACTGTCTTCTGCAATAGCAGAGGTGAGAAGCTATTGACACTCACAGTATCTTTATTCCCTGCTTCACAGAATAAATAGAAATTTTAGCTAGAGCTGAATAAACCAGGAACTGGCGGCAACTATTTGAGCCAGGCTTTCAAAGGAGAGACCTTCCTAACTTCCCTGCATGCTACAGCAAACACAAACGTCTGTCTTGTCCGTGCAGGAAATGTAGCTTAAATCCCAAACTGAAGTAATGTTAAATTTTGGAGACTTGACCTCCACAGAGAGCTGTCAGTCATCTCTGATGTAGCAAATGGGAACGTTCAAATTGCCAGACCTGATTTGCATTCTTGTTACATACACACAAAAACAAGTCCTTCTCATCTTCACTCTTCGCTGCCTCTATGCATTTGCCAGAAAGGACATGGACAATCATTCCATTCTACAAGATGAGAAAAGAAGGGAAAGAAAGAACAAATGAAAAATATGGGATTTCCAGTAAAAGCTAGGCCATATTTCTGAAACTTTTTACATACAGCAGATCACCAGTAATGACTGGTTGTTCAAAATTTTTTAAGTATTGCTCCAAACATAATGACTAGGTTTAGCTTTCAGCCCAGGGCATGGTGAGTATTCGTAATTCCATTCAAAGCTGACAGGAGTGGTAGGTGCAGAATTCAATGTATGTCTTTTCCAGCACTATTTGTTTCCTATGGGTACAGGTTGTCATCAGCATCAACTACAGTACTACAGGCCACAAAATTTCAAAAGGTTCAGTGCTTCCTTTAGGAATCAAAGCAAATTACAGTAGGAACTGCACCAGAGGATTGAAGCATCCCTACAACTACAGTAACTGCTATTTTCCCAGGCTGTCCTAGAGCATGACATTTTTCAGTCTTGTAGAGGAGTTCCTGCTCTGCTGGCTGAAGTCCACTGAATAATACCAAATTCCTCTATTAGGAAGTTTGCTCTTCTCTTACAATGCAGGAAGAATTTTAATGTTTCTCCTACTCCCAAAGGGCTCTCATCTGGGAGGGTTCAGGATTCCCAGACCATTCCTCTATCCAAAGGAAGTGGGCAACTATTTGCCCTGATCTTATTTTCACAACCACTGATTCTGATTCTATTCCTATAACGCCAGTAAGACAAACAGTTAAAACAAGGACATATGAATTTAGGTAGGATTCCTGTAATTTGTATTTTTAAACCAAATTTATTTCACATAGACAGTGTAAATGGGCAAGAGGCATCCTAAATTTCCTGGGTGAAAATGGTACAGAAGTGAAACTTGCCTTTCAAATACCTCATCCCTTCCCCACACATGAATCCTGTCAATCGCCCAGTGATCTCACAGTCACCGTCAGCTGCTTTCCCCTTACGGCAGAGTCACTACTGACCTCCTGGAAATCCCAGTGCTGGTGGCTGTTGTCTGTCTCCTTTGTACAGTTTTGAGGGATAACCTTCCCGTGTCTGACATCAAAGCAAAACAGCGGAGCAGAACCAAGCCGGATTTCCTTCATGCTGTTATATTCAAAGTGCTGGAAAAGGGAGGGTTTGTTTGAACAACGATGGAAGGACATCCCAATTAATTTTTAAAGCTATTTCCAAAAATAATTTCCTGTACATGTTTGTTAAGATGCAACCCAAACATGAGTGCTGGAGACCCAACAGCCTTGACCCTGCAAAGCAATCCCCCTCGCTAGCCAATTCCGGCGTAACTATTTACCTAAGGAAAGACTTTGTGGACTGTAATTATGTATAAAGTAAACCCATCCTATAATAAAATTTTCTAGTTTAATAAATATTTGAAGAGAAGGGTGTTTCTGACAGTGTCCACACACACAGCAGTTAGAAATGTGCCTGCAGCTCACCCTGAGCTCAGTGGGAGCAGCAAAACATGTTTGGGACTTGGAGTAAATATCTGTAGTCGGTCTGTATTGGTTTGGCTTCTCTTAAGGCATGAACTTGCTAGTCTAATGCCAGCTTGGGAGTCTACATGAATTTCCCTCCTGTCTTTGACGGTTTTAGGCACTGATGGGGAAACCCATCCCCATTATTCTAGAATTGTTATATATTTTTTACTCCCAGGCTTTCTGTTCTCCAGACATTACCAAATATATTAACAAACAGGCACTTAATGATGTCTGCTGGAGCAAAGTGTGGGGATCTGGCCTCAGTGACACATGGAACAATGCCATTTTCCAAATGACACTCAGCTGCAAAAGAGTGGGCATTGTTGCCTTAGCACATGCCTAATTTTGAACACATCAGTATTTCCACTAATGTCAACCCAGCCATTTGCATGTTGGAGTGCCCGTCTTCTGGATGGTTCCCTAGATCTGATACAGTGCCTATATACTTAAAGTATACAGTACCTGGGTGAGACTGTCACTGCAAGGGGAGAGTTCAATAGAGCCTTGTGCAGTGGCTCTTCCAGGTCTGTAATCTGCACAGAAGCCAACACCAGTATTGTAAAGCTGTAAGTAAAGGTTTATACTGAAATAAAGCACCATCAGATACAAACAAAATATCCTTCAGCTAAGTTTTTTGTGAGTGTATCCCTTTATGATATATGGTTTTGCTCATAATTCAGGCAATATTTTTTTCTTTCAGACTAGATCTTGCATATTGATCTTGCAAACTGATCTGATATAAAAGATGGAGTCTCACCAAAGGTCGGTGTTACACAGTGAGTTTTAAGTTACTCACTTATGTTTTTAACCATTACGATAGTTAAAAGAAACCTGTCAAAATTTTTATGCTAATGGAAAATTGCACTTCAACTGGACAGTGTAGTCAGAAAAAACCCAAGATATTCCAGAAGAAAAAAATGTGGCAATTCCTGTGATCCACACTCAGTTCTTACACTCTTCTCAAGCAAACTTTGATAATAAAGAACAGACAAAATAGTAAAAGTACAAAGTAAAATCTGTCTACAGATAGCAGAGTGTGACTTAATTAGTGGACCTTGTTGCTTTGTTGGGGGAAAATCCTTTCCAGTAAGGCTGCCTGGAATAAATTCATATTTTAATGAATGATAATTATCAACTTTAAAACTTATGTTTTAAAAAAAACATTGAGAATATTGCCTCCTGTATGCAGTCAGCCAAGGAGCTGCCATTGCTACCACCTCTGCCCTTGAGGGAAGTGCAGGACTGAAGAAATACTTTTTTCTCTTTATGCATATGGGTCAGCATAGAGATATCTCAGCTGCTGTTGCAACTGCCAGCTGCATGAGGCAACACAATTCTTTTCCTTTACTAAGGGCACCTAAAGGACCTCAGGTTAGGATCCTCTGAGCTGTGACACTGAACTGAGTCAGACAATCTGGGTTCAGCTCCTGGCTGGCTTTCAACATTTATGTGAGAATTCGGACCAGCTGTTTGTCTCCTTTGTCCTTTTCTTTCTCCTCCCATCCTTGTTGCATTGTCTGTTTGGACAATAAACATTTCAAAGCAGGAACAGCCTCTTACTGTATGCTCACTGAGTACTTAGTACATGTAAGTGAAACTGCGGTCTTCAAACAATGCAAAAACTCTAATCATGCTTTATAGCGTGTTTTCTCTTACCTTGCCAGAGAATCTTGGTGTGTCTTCAGGTTGGGAGAGTTCAGGGTACACATTTGATACAAACCATTGGAAACTTCTACAGCCCAGTCTCTTTTGTAGCTGAAGGCGCTCACTGCAGTCTGGCTTCTCTGCCTTTATGGAGAAAGCATAGGGTCAACATGGTTACTAGTGATTTTGTGTTAGAGATGCTAGAAGTGAAAATGACTACACAGGAATTATTTCTACCACCTCTTCTATCCTGCATGTTATCGATATTGATATATATCTCTCATGAGCACACAAGGGAGGAGCACCAGCCTTCCTCCAACTTTGTGCTACAACAGCATTTAGTCTGGCATTGTGATGGGAGTAAATGTTTCAGAAGTAGCATACACTGTGAAAATAAATATTTCCTCTAAAAAATATTATTATACTGCAAGATAAGTCAGCTTTGTCACCTTTTTAATTAAAAAAATCAGGGCCAAGTTTGATACTTGTTGCACTGAAATCAGTGGGGTTGTATTAAATGATTGTCATTCAGTATAGAATTTGCCCCGCTGATTAAAATTCAATTTCCTGGCCTTAAACAGCCCAAGTTACCCAGTTATTGTTAGTCCTCCATGATCAGAAGGTGTAAGTGATGACAGAATTTAGCCCAAAATATAGTCTATCACATTGTTGTCTGACAGTTACTAAATCTAGTAAGTGAATGTGTTTTGTGGCTATAAAGGCATAAACCCTTTCCTATGATTTATGTGTTTTCTTGAATTATATACACACAATATCAACTCACCCTTCCTGGTAGCAACTCTGTTCTGAAAAAAGACAAGTGCGTTAACCCTTGATGCAGCTACGGACATCTGCACTGCAAAGGCCTGCCTGTCTGAATATTTGAGGGTATTTAGCACTGAAGATGACTAACAGGGTTCTGAAACCCTCTAAGGAGGTAAGTGTCTAATCCTTCAGTTTCAAAACCACACAAAACGCTTTTCTAAATCTCTTAGTGCCCAAATCCGAAAAATATCTCGCCACCCTTAAAAGTCTCTCTCCTCTTTCTTGCCAGCAGTATATCTCCCCCTTCACATTTCTACTTTTTAAAAATGCAGTTTTGGATTCCAGGAAACTGGTCTGGATTCCTATGTCAGAAATTAAAAATGGTAACATAAGCAAAGAATTGCCTGTAAATAACCTTTCCTCAGACCAGCTATTTCTCTGCATCCATAAGAAAGAAAAAAGGACTTCGTGACATGCCTGGAAAACACTGACAAATGAAGGGCCTTGGAGATCAAGGGAGGGGTACCAGTTTCTAAAGGCAGGGATCAAGCATGCCATGTGGCACTGTTTGCAAGCCCCTGTAAGCCGCACAGGCAAGGCTCAACAGTTGCCATACATTAAAGAGAATCTCACAGTTTAGTATCAGTCTTAGATTCAATAAGCATAACAACAAAGTTCAGCAATTCAGCACCACACAAACCTGTCCCCAAGAGGTTTTCTTGGAAAAGGGAAATAGAGAAGTAAAATGCTTCTCATAAAAAGCGATGTTTCTCATGAGACTCTGCTTTGGCTGAAGAAGGCGATGGCAGTAAATCTCATTTTGTCATACTAGTTACAGTCCGCATTTGATGCCGAATAAATGGTGTAAATAATGTAAAGAAAGTCCTTATTGCTGTAAACCAATCTGAAAGGGAACTGTGCTTGTAAATGAAATAAACAAACCACACAAGAAAAGGAGAAAAAGAGATGGTGGCTGTAAAGGTAGAGAGCTGGAAAGAGCCTTACTCATCTGCATTAACGCTCACACCACAGGCATCCTGTGCAGGATGCAATTCAGACCATAAAATGGGAAGACTTATAAAGCAACCTAAACGGGGGTCACTCGTTATTTTCAGCAGCGGGCAATGTCGGCGGCCAAGGCTCACGGAGATTTTTGTAGTGGCCAATAGGTGGCTCCGCTCACCCTCTCAGTGCAATAAAACCCCGCAGGGCCCATCTGCAGCTGAGCGGCAATAATGTCACGGCTTGCTTGTGTCTTTTCAGTAACATCCCGCTGCACTGACATACTGAAAATATTGGCTGTGAAAGAAAGGAACAGAGAAAAGGGCCTTTTATGTTATGGTATGCTGAGCACAGAGATCGTAAAATTGATCATTTGAAGAAGCATCATACTCAGAAGTACTAAAAGTATTCTGCTAGAACAAACTCTCAGGCAAAAGGTCACAGTGCTTACAGCTAGTAAACTGTGTCACTGGTGGCTGTAGTTCTTCGTACAGAAAATTGCTTCTGAGTTGACCAGAAAGGCCTTCAGGAAATTATTAAATGATTTAAGGACCTAACTGCCCATCTTAAAAGACTTGGCCTAGTGTCCTCCTTTCAATTACATGGCTGTAACCCTTGTGAGTCAATTCACGAACTTCTGGCCAGTGGAGTTCAAACCTACAACACAGATGAGGACGGAGAAGCTTTTTAAAAAATGTGAAAATGGAATAAAAAAAGAAACGCAATAGTCTCAGACTCTAGGATTAGCACAGCAGGCTGACTGGAGAGGCAGATTCACTGGTAGAACGTAAGGAGGTCAGAGTAGGTGACAGGAGAGGAGCCACCCCGACGCACAGCCCTTTTCCCGCTACAGTGCAGCTCCTGCTGCATCTGGCTTTCTTAGACGATGGCCAGCCCTGCAATGACTGAAGCATGCAGGACTGAAATGCAAGAGCAAAACCGAATGGGAAACTTTGCACAGCACCGACCCGTGCTCTGCCTAACTGTTTTCAGTGAATCTTTTTCTTCTTAAAAGTGCGGCATTGTTAAATGAACAAGAAGATGAATGACACGTTTTCATTCACAACTGCTCACAAGTTTGTCCACTGCCTTGTAGGAGAGGATATCGTTACAAGAAAAGGTACTGGAGCCAGAGAATGCCTGAGAACTGCAGCAACATTAACATCTTCACATTGTTAACAACTTAACATTAAAAACATTAACAACATTAACTACAGCTGCATGACTCCCAATAAACAAACATCCACTGTTTTGTAATACATGAGATATACAGTCCCTTGACTGATCCTGATCTGCAATGCATTATACAGTGGCTTAAAAACAAGTGTGGCTGTTCTGTAGTTGTTGGATGGTGCGTAGCCTGTAGACGGTTCAAGTGTGGCTACGCCGCACACCTGGCTGCAAGCGTGCCTCAGCCTACAGGCTGCTGGGAATCTGAATCCCTGGAGACTGGACTGCTGTCTGTGCGATGCTTCTAATGAAAAAGTAACTTGTAAATAGTGGCTATGTTGAGATCTGACTTTCTCAGTTACACAGTTGCTCCTGGACATCTGTCAGTTCAGGAAAAAAAATCACCTTTTTTTTTTGTCACTAGACCACTCAGATACATTCCCTTCCAGTAGGAGAGACACCACAGTTTGCCACTTGCCTGTGAATGTTACTGAATATCCTCATGAATCACATGAGGAAGACCTTCAGTAACGAAGAATGAATCCTCTAGGAGGGCCCTCTGAGCACGCAGGGCTACTAGCTTCCACTTCAGATGCACTGCAACCCTCCATGTACTATCGGTGGAAAAATAAATCACAGCTTGTTGGGCAAGCTGCAAAAGGAGTCATTTGGAGAAGGAGTCATACTCTAAGAGATTTGGTAACTTCAGTAAACAACTCCCAGGCACAAGTTTCTCTCTTTCCTTCCTGATCTGACAGCTCTTCCACAGGAAGGTTTCATAAAAAGACTATCTCCAGCACCACGCACGTTGAATGTTTGACTGCATACAGACACCCCCACTCCTGTTCCACCCCCTTCACCTACCTCAGCGCACCCTCCTTCCCTCAGAAACAAACCACTACAGATGTCTTTACCTTGCTGATTAAGAAAGCCACTGTGTCGTGCTTGTAGAAGTTCTCTTTAAAAGAGCCCAGCCAGGTCTCTGCTATTCGGATTTTGTTCCTCACAATGGCGTCTTCATAGGAGAAAGCATGGGGAAAGTGATTTCGATAGACATGCCCAACTCGGGAGCATGGAATAATTTCTACAGAGCCACCACAGAGCCAGGTCTGAAACACAGATGAAAGCACAAAAAAAGATTACCTTATTTAGATTATCTAAAAAGGAGAAACTCTTTTACTATAGGCTCTGCCTCAGGAAATCCTCATCTGCACATTGCTGGAGACAGCAAGAGCATTATTATGTGCTTCTTCATACACTGTTCCCCACAGACACAAAGACACAGAGAAGATACTGGGCAAGACAGACCTTTGATTTGACCCAGTATGTCTATTTATATGCTTTTATGTTTTTCCGTGCAGAAACAGTGCAGTGTAGCGAAGAGACCTGGGGGCGTACCTTCTTTTGTCTGGGACATTAAAGACTCTATATGCTTTGTGTCTGCAATTTTCATTGCTTTTTAATATCAGCTACTCTGCAGTATTCAGCAAAAATCAATGCAAACAATTTAATATAAACAATTTGGTATTAAAAATACAGGTTGGCAAAGAAATAAAGCTACTCTCCCTTTGGTGCATGTTACATGCCAAAAAAAGAAGAGGCAGCTTTCAGAAGGTGCCAAAACCAGTGACTCTGCCCTCAGGCAGATGGTGATGGCCAGTGAAACTTCCTTCTCCTGACATAATGCTCTTAACTCACAGCAGCTGCATGTTCTTGTATAGTCCTCGCAGATCACAGAGCATGGCGATAGATTTCTGCGAGGAAAGTGATATTCTCCATACTCCAAGATGTTCTGCATGTAACTGCTTTTATAATTTGCTTCTTGCCTTTTCATTCAGGTTCCTTAAAAGCCTAATAGTTACCACAGCTTGATATTTTAATTAAAGTTTATACCCTTATAGATAGCTCCAGATTTTCTGCTCCCCACATGGTCATGTCAGAATCATAAGCTCCTGTGTTTTGGAAGTAATGTCGATCCATGGCCACCACTGCACCAGCTACCACAGGACTCCTGTGTAGAAAACAGTTTGGAAGTGAACACCTTGAGTTTTCAATAGGGAATTATGTGAAGGCTGAAAACCCCACCATTTCCATAGATATAGTATTACAAAATGATTGAATACTACTCCATATAAGCTTGAATGAATTGATTATCTAACCAGAAGAAAGAACAACTGGAACATAATTCTAGGATTTGCTTGGGGAAGGAGAGCCAAGAGCTGAATTATGTAAGGCGGCTCAGAACAGTGGGAAACATTACATGCACGTACACCCAAAACAACAGACAAACAGATCATGATTAAGACGTCTCTTTTAACTCTGTATGATCCATCTTTTGCTTTCCACCCTACAAACCTCCACACCTTGTCTGGTCAGGTTGTATACTAGTTGTGTCAATGTGTGGAAAACACTTGTCATGTTGAAAGTATGACTGCAATCTAGTTAGAATGACTACTAAAGACCAAACAAACTCAGTGTAAACCAAAACCCTGTCCCTTCAAAAAATGTTAACTGAGCATATGCAAGTAACCACGACTCTCTCCTGGTAGCTGGAAGATGACCCAAATTGTACAGTTTTGCTGCTGAGCTGAGTGGAGGCATATTGGCTGATGGACTGTTACCTGATAGGGCTGATGGGAGACTGTCGTACCTTCTCTTCACGCTCTGGCACTGGTTCCCAATGAAAATCTAGTTTCCAATCAAAAACACCTCGATGTAGGCGCACAGAGTGATAGTACTGAAAAGTCTTCCAGTCTATGACATCTATGACAGGGGAGACGACACTGTTTCTGAAAAAGACAATATAATTTATTTTCAACCCCAAAGCACAAATTAAGTTCGCTATTCTGTTAGTAAACAGTGGTTCCTCCCTTTGACGCTGTCAAGCACAAGCACTCCTCTAGCTGTTGAGTGCCCTTATTTTCCCTGCTGATAGAAGCTCAGGTGCTCAGTGCATGGGAATACTGAGCTTGCAGTGCGAAATCTAAAGATCAATAATTTATTGATAACTCGTACCTTGCATTGTCATTTAAAACTATTCAGGATTCTGCTATGAGTTAACCATTAGGATTCTTATAAAGCTATTTCACACAGAGGTACCGACCTCTGATGTTATAGGATCTGCGCAGATGCAAAGTTTACAGCAAAAGATTATTTTGGCCTCACACACTTCACCATCCTTTGATTTTCCTGTAGATGTTCCACACACTTCATGACTTTGTCACTTCAGGCCAATGAAGAGCGCACTTATCCTTATTTTGCTCTGCCGGTTGTTTTGCAAAAACATTTACCACCAAGTTCATAAACCAGTTTCTGTTTGTATTTTATCACAAGCTTAAAATGCTCTTGCAAATGCACTGTCACAGTGTGGAATCTACTTTTAAGAGCCAGAACAGAGCCATTGCACCATAAGCAGCAATCCTCCAATTCATTTCTAAATTGAGTTAAATTTGGGTTAGTCTAAGAAGAGGTATTAGACATTTCCCCACAGCAAACATTTCACAGTATTTCACAGTGTGCTTGTACATCATCTTGGAATTAACTGGTAGTTCAGAAGAGCCACCAGTGTTGCTTGTTTCCAGGTCAAGGACATATCACATTTGGAAATTTTCAGAGTATTAATGCAATGGTATTAGGGACTGCAGGAAAAAAAGTGTTGAAGAAGAACATTATCCATTTCTTCTCTGTTATGCAAAAAGGATAGCCTCTGGTCTCAGTGTAAGGGCTTGTCTATAGACAGAAGTTCCTCTTCAGTAACATTTACTAGGGATTAAAGTACACTGGAAAAAATTACTTTTGTTCTAGAGAACTACCATATAGGAAATTATTCTGGAGTAGCTCTTT